CGCCAAATTAACTTGAAGAGGTTTCCACTTTCACACAAAAAGCTATTTTTACTGTTTTTGCCTTCTTGAGGCTACGCCGTTGAGCTTAGGTCATATAAGAGGGCACATTTGTGAAACAGCCTCATAAACAGCTCCGGACGGGCGGCCCAGACTTAATACAGAGCTATCGAGTGTTCTCCCGCGATTTTCTATCTTTATAAGTTCATAAGCTATGTCTGAATTGCCAGAGATCGTCTGGATAAGGAAGCTGTGACCTTTTATTATTTTCACGGACTTTTATTGAAGTCCGTGAAAGTGACTCAAAGTGAAATAAAAGTCCGTGACTTTTATTGCCTCTCATGATGACCTAACCTTTTACTTGTGCCTAAAATATATTAAGTTTTTTTTTTCTGTCATGAATTATGGCGACCTAAAGCATGCCTCTTACCATGTGTCGCTATATACCGGGTGGCCCAGAAAAAACGTTCCCAACTTTGAATCAATATTTCTCAGAAAGTGATAAAGATGCAGCACTGAAACTTCCAATAGTCAATGCGGCATATATTTTCAGTGAAAGGTATGATTTTTATGTTATTCGATCAATTACTTTTTAAACGGTTCGTGTTTCTAGCATGCCATGTAAAAATTACTTTTTTGCTCAGATGTTTACTAAAAATGTGAGTGAACGGGCCACTTCCATCTCGGCACCACGGCCTGCAGCCATGACTGCTACTGGCAACTAGTCTCATTGATGGTTCAGGCCTCAGGGTGACACATTTCGTCTAGCTTTTTTCTTTATTCGGTCGATTTACTGTTTGATCTTCTTGAAGGGAGGGCGATGACCAGTAACCCATGCACCGTGCCACTCCTGCTCGAAACAGGACTTAGCGTTGAAACGAATGGCATCCATTAACACCATTTTGGCTCATTATTTGAATATTTGGCACATAAGTGGGATAAAAAATATTTAAAATAACAACATACGTGCTGGTTTCATTCACGTGTTCTATTTTTCTTTTTTTAACAAAGTACGTCCAAGCCAATCATCACTTCCGCTCAACATCGGCAAAAAAAGCAAAAACGTCTTACTTAATTCAACATAAGATTGCTGGCTTGAAAATGATGGTACAGTGTTACAATTTGGCATGCCAATGCGCAAAGAAGTCATGCAAACTTGATGAAAATTTTGGCTCGTTATTTGCACTCAAATTTGAGATATAGACCTCCAAAGATCGGAACGTTTTTTTTGGGCCACCCGGTATACGGCCCAGAAGCAGAGGAACGGGCGAGGATAAAAATGCCGCCGTCTCGATGTGTGACTGGGTCGGCGAAGTGGCGTAAATAAGATAAGCTTAATCTGCTTGGTGTTCCTTACCTATCAGTCTGTTTTGGATGCCTAACGTCCAGTCACACAGGCGTAGGAACAGGGGGCCGGGGGGGGGGGGCATGGCCTCCCACTTTTCAGCCATTTTTTAAAAGTAAAATCTTTATCTTTTATTTAACACGCGCACCGACGGGGGGGGGGCGGATATCCGCCCCCTGAGTTTTTTCGCGAATAGCGGAAAATACGCGCCGCGAAATTTGGTACGACTATTCCCTCATCAATTTTACACATGGTGTGCAAGTTTGAACCTCCTAACTTTTAAGGTCAGGTCACCAGGTCACTTTGAATGACCCAACCTCAAGTCACTTTTTTGCAGCTTTGTCACCGTGCCAGAGCTACAGTAGATGTCGGAGGCCTTTGAAAGTCGCAGGATGTTATGAGGTCATTATTAGCTACAATTTGTTTATCTCGGAATTTTGATATCGGTGACCTAAGGTCAGGTCAATCTCGCGACCTCTCCATTAAAGTCAAGGGGGGAAAAATCAACTCCCTGTTTTTACCACTAAAACGGGTCGGAATGCCCCCATATACCATACATGACTTTATATACGATCAACCTTAACTACGTTGAGGTCTGTTTTGCTGTTGGGCAGCTGTAAGGTCATGTGACGTCATCAAAGGTCACCAAAGGTTTTTTGCCAATAACTCCGTGCAGGAACAAGATACAGCCACGCCGTATGGTTTCATTGTGTTCAGCTCGTCAAGACGCATCGAATGATATACATGATGACCTCGAGGTCACGTGACCTGAGGTCAACCTTTGGCCTTGACCTTTCGAGGTCAATATATATATATATATCATTCGATGCGGATTGACGAGAGGATCACGACGATGCCCTTAGGTTGGTCATATCTTGACTAATTCGAAAGTTATTCGAGAAAAACTCTCTCCATATCTAGCGCCGCCATTTTGACTTTTTCGACCCCTGTGACGTCATCTTTGACCTGACCTGAAAATGACCTTAGTAAAAATTATAGACCTTGACCGTGCGTATCCGATGCCGTTTACCGCTTGTCGCTATCTTGCTTCGTTCTCGAGATCTCAGGGAGGGGGCGGTCATCCGCCCCCCCCGTCGGTACGAAGTTGGCGCAGACCCCCGTCGGTGCGCGTGTTAAATACAAACTATGAGCAGGAAATGGTTCAGAAAGGTGAGATGAGCACAAAACTGTAAAGGATTTCTTCAGAAGGGTGTTAGGGCTCCCACAAAGTGAGATTGAAGTTTCGCTGCCCCCCCCCACACACACACACACACACACTTTTCGTGAGGTTCCCCGTTCCTACGCCCATGTCCAGTCAGTCAGGTGTTGGTTAATGGTTGGCTCTACTTATACGAGCATTCTTACTTCTGATGTTATCGTTCACTGGCCTGAGACCAGCGATGACTTAACCCTCGCCGGACCTATTGGTTTTCTACATACGCGCCGGCCGAGGGGGGGGGGCGGGTACGACCCCCCCCTCGCCGTTTCGCCCCTGGTGGAGCTAGCGCGTCGCGGAAAAAAACGAGCGTGTGCGCCGTTACGAGACGCAGAGATTGGTACCCGATTTTAAGGTCCTAGGTCAACCGGTGACCTCTGAGGTCAGGTCAAGTGCCCCAGGGTACGGTTCAGTTTTTGGTGAATAACTTCGCAAAAAACGGCCGCAGAGCCGCGATTATGGCAGCATCGTGTTCGCCTCGCTCAGGCGCGTCGAATAATATACTTTTTGTCCGGGTTAGGTCAACTTGGGGTGTTGACCTCAGGACAAGGTCAGGTCAGCACCCCCAGGTCACGAAGTTGGTCGAAAGAGGTCATGTCGCATATCATTCGATTCGGCAGGTCTTCCTGAGTCCATTGGTGGCTTTCTCGACTCGCTAGCTCAGTTTGATCAAGAGTTATTGACGAAAAACTAATATGACCTTGATGACGTCATAAATGACGTCACGCAAGGTCAACATTGCAAAAGTGACGCATCTAACCTTGCAAGGAGTGCATCAAATCACGATTCTGTGTGCTTGAGATAGTTGGAGATCGTTCCCGGCGCCAGAATAGCAGTTTTCATTTTTCCCCATTGACTTACAATGGTGAGGTCACGAAAATGACCTGACCTCATATGACCTTTAGGAAAAATCCGAGATATACAAGTTGTGAGACTCATAATGGATACTAGATCCTGCAAGTTTCATTTCCCTGTGACATCTCCTCTGGCAGTGAGGGCGTTGCGAAGTTGCGACATCTGAAGACCGTGCAGAGGTTCACTTATGACGTCATAGGTCAGTGACCTGACCTGACCCAAAAATGCGGTTGGTGTCAAAAGATGCGGCTTGGATCAAAGGTCAGTTATGCCAAGTTTCAGCTCTCTATCGCCAGCGTGTTCGGAGCTATTGCGAAAAAACCCTATGGGGGGGGGGCGGCACCCGCCCCCCCCCCCTCGGCCGGCGAGGGTTAAATGAGCTAGAAGAGCTACAGCCGATATTGAGACACAAGTCACACAACACTACCATAAGCAGCACGTTAAAACGTTTTAGGACCCCAGCGTCACGTGTGTTGAACATCGAATATGTTTTCTGATGCGTGTGAACCGCATTGGGGGTAGGTATGCGAGAATTCAAACCACCCAGGACGGCCTCTGCAGGATACGAAGGCCGATATGTGCCGATTAACTGCGTGACTGCACGTGGCCGTCAGGCGTGACAAGCGCTAACGTCACGAATCACAAAAGCAAGGTCGCTGAGGTTACGGTTGATCAGCCAGCTGAGCTGTGGGTTATGCAATCCAGCTGATCGGCTAAGATAGGGGACTTGATAAAAAAGCGAGTGTGAGCGAGTAGGCTTACATTACAGAAATAACAAGAACGCCGGGCTGATAAAAATACATTTATAATCAGTTCAGTCCACGTCGGTCAAATAATGTAGCAGCTGAGCCACAGCCGATGTAGGTATTTAGTATTTACTCACCTTGCGATGATGCCCTGTCCAGTCTGGTCCAGTCCTCTACTGCTCGCTAGTATCACAGCTGCTGCCGGCTCTCCCGGTCCACCTCTCCACACCGCACACAGCTCCCGGCCGTCCGGTGTCCCACTGCTGCCTCTCCAGTGATCTGTACCGCCTCACACGGCCGTACACCACCCGCTGGATTTAGAGCAGAACAGAAGCCGCAGCCGCCCGCCCGCTGGGCCGTGACGCCGCCGTAACGTGACGCTGTGGCGTGTCACGGGCGCGCGCTAATGTGGCGACTAGCGGCGGGGCCGCAGCGCGTGCCGAGAGTGGGACGATCCGTCACACAGCAAATCAGTACAGCGAGGACGGACGAGCCGAGACGGGTTACGGGTGTTACGGGCAGCCCGACCGTGAAACGGGCACGCCACACAGACGTGCGACTGGCGGTGCAGTCCCACATACGAGCACGAGGATCCATTTGTGGTTGCCTTACCGATCGAGAGCACGGTTTCCCAATCGGTAGACTGATTATGCACCTGCAACATACAACTACATCCGGAAGAAACAATAATGTCTCGAGGTTGATTATTATTTATGACTCGTTGCTTTCTGCAATGCCGAGGAACACGCTTAAATAGCTGCCCTTTTTGGGTGCATTCGTAACCGTTGTTCCACTTACCATTTGCATTTATTTTTCGTTGTTACAGCGAAATAAGACAAACGAAATATATTCATTGTATTTCGTTGGAAGCGACACAACATAAACTGATGGACGAAATATAGCGTCACAATCTACAAAGTAACATCAATGCGAGTGTGCGTGTGTGAGCAAATATAACGCACTATTTTGCGCTGCAATAAAACACTATGCTTGGCACAACATATTGAAGCAACATACGTTCACTTATAACGTCAATAAGCGCGGTCAGTCAGCACGGCCTCTGCATATTCACGAGAAGCACCTTATGACAGTGGTATGATCAGATACGGGCAGATCGACTGAGACTCCAGGCCGGTCGCCGGGCCACCGAAGTGAGCACTTCTCGTACAAACAATGGCTACCAGCTCCATAACACTGCTTTCTATGACTAGTACCTCGGTGTGTAGGCACATGACTTTGACGAGAAGCTCAATGGGTACCATTTGGCCTATCATTCTTACACGTACGCCAAACAGAGTTTCTTACTTGCGCATTTGATGCGCGTTGATGAGCTAATACGTGTTTTATATGCCATACCTAAGCGACACATACCAAAAATATAGCTTTTCCTGTGACGCATTCCCTTTGCTATATCAAAATATCAAACATACGCCACTGGCTGGGCCACTGACTTACCCGAAACAACTCCAGTAGCGAGGCGACTCGAAGCTCGCCCCGGCACCGTTTACAACATAGCATCAGCGTTACTCACGCTCAGTTCGAAACATTGACGATGGAATCTTCAGCTTCCATCCTACTTGGTCAAACAAGGTCACAAGCTCGCACAATCACTTGATCATAGCTCGATACGTTACCAAAATAAGAACAGTATACTGCTGTAAGTCTCATTTCCGCACGGGCCAGTTTCAGGCATCAGTTTCTCTGTCACCGGCCGCAGCAAGACGCCGACATATCCTTCCCGGCGACACCACCAGTTTGTAGTTAGGTTCCTCACTCAGCCTGCACAGACCGTTAGGCTGAAGCACTTTGTAGTCACCACAGTCAGGACTGCCTGAATTGAGGACCTTATAGTCGCCGAAGTCAGCTTCGCCCGGTTTGAGGACTTCGTAGTCCCTATCTTCAAATCTCCCCGACTGAAGAACCTTATAGTCTCCGTAGTCAGTACTGCCCGACTGTAGGACCTTATAGTCTCCGTAGTCGGTGCTTCCCGGTTTGAGGACCTTATAGTCACCGTATTCAGTGCCGCCCGGTTTCAGGACCTTATAGTTCCCATAGACAGCACTGCCCGGCTGGAGGACCTTATAGTCTCCATAGTCTGGCTCGTCGAAGCTAAGCGCCACCCTCGGCGGCTGATCAGGAGCTGTCAGTCGGGTCAGCGGCACGCCGGACGTTCTGGGCGGGGGCGGCAGGGCCGGCGCGGGCGGGGGCGGGGGCGGCGCGCTCGTCGGCACGGCCGGCAGCGTGGGCGACATGTATGTCGACGACAGGTCTCCCGGCGGCGGCGAGGACCCGGCGGTGGGCGGCGGCGGCGCCTCAAAGTCGGGTGGCCCGAGCAGGTCGCACAGCGCAGCCGTAGGACTGGGTACCTCAGAGGAGCGCGGTGCCGGCGGCTTGGGCGGCAGCGGAGGCGGCGGCAGGGTCGGCGCACACATTATCGCCGGCGCAGACACCTGTAAGTGCGAGCAGAAACATACAGTCACTATAGCGTACTTACTGGTCATCCCCACCCTTCGAAACACAATTTAAAAATCAAACCATGCATGTGCGACAGTCATTCGTTTCGGCTGTGTGTCGTTCATTTAGCGTTCGCTCCAACAGTTCGTTCTATAAGATTACATCCACGTTTGCCTGGTGTTTACCTTTTTGGTGAGCCTGAGCGGAAGGCTGGGCCGGTGCTCCAGTCCGCCGCCGTAGACCACTGACGAGACTGACGATGTGTGGCGCTTTTCGGCAGCTGAGGAAGACGAAACCGGCAGATAGGTCAGTTAGGAGACACAGGGAGATAACTGGATAAGTCTCAAACATCATGGTTTCGTAACAAAAACCGGCTCCCATTATGCAGCGCAGTATCATTTATTTAAAAAAAAAGCGAATAAATGGTTAGCATTATTGAGTTAGGGGAGAGTGGGGCAATGGCGACACCATAAGCATTTTGCTCAATAGCTTAGCTATTTGAAGCTATTTTATGGTGATTTTGACTGTGGTTATAGCCAAAGGAATAGGCTTTCAGATAACACCCAGTTTTAGTATCTCAGATCACTGATGACAGATTCAGAGCCTACGCGAAAATGTGGTGAAAAATGAAGGTGCAAAAAAGCGAGGGGTAATGCCGGCCACTAAGTGCAATAGCACAAAAAAATCGAAATATCGTCTCTGGTATTCATCCTTAAACCGTTCTTTCGATGGAAATTTAAGTGAGAATTAAGAAACGACAACTGTATTCAGCAGTTAACAGTGCACTGCACTGCAACACAACATTGCACTCGCTGCAACACAACAGCGCGGCGCCAACAGAGCAGCAAACTAACACAACCGTAAACAGCAAGCAAACTAACACAGCCGTAAACACAGCAACCCGAAACGTTGAGCTTTAACGACAGAAGTCGCAAACAAAACCGCGTGGAGTCATTCCGGACACGTGTCCGGTATTACCCCGAGGTCAGCTTTATTTTAAGAAAGCAGGCAGCAGTCAAAGGCATTGCGTCGCAAACGCCTCACATCCAGCAGTCGCCTAAGAAAGGCTTAATTGAAGGTCATTGCAAAGCAGCACTTCTGAAAATGCGTTAACACATTTCACAGTCAGCAAATAGATGCAACAAAAATTAAAAATCAGATACGAAAAACACATTTAACGCTATAAAAATGAAAATAATGGAGCTACCGTGACAAACTTGCACCACGTGCTAGAATGGCGCTCAACTGAAATGTAAACAACATCAGCTGATTAGTGATGGACAAAGTACTCACTAGAGACGGGTGGCCGGCATTACCCACCGTCCGCCATTGCCCCGCTCTCCCCTACATGAGTTGTACGCAGAAAGCAAGGACAAAACAGCCTTCTGGGCTGGTAATATGCGTAGAGAATAATACCAAAAGAGTTACGTTTCTATCCAAAGCCCGTCTCGTCGGCACTTTCCAATTCCACAACTAAACGTCCCACAACTAAACGGCACGTCAACAGCCCAGAAGACCAGCCCGTCATCTCCTTCACTCTAACTTAAAACAACACACTGCCCGCCACCCGCGACGCACTAGCGCTCAAAACAGCCACCCAGTAAGCATTGCTCACGTTTGGGCGGCAGCGGCGGTAGCGGCGGCTGATCCGAGCTCCCCACCACAGACGACTGGCGGCTGACCGGACGGGACGGACCGTCGGTGGACGGTCGCGACTCCGAGAGACGCTTCGGCGGCCGCTCGGGAGGGTCGTCATCACTGAAATGAGCAGACAAAGAGCAGTGTCATCGGGTGAGTATCGCATGGTTCGGCATCTATCCATACCTACGACGGATCAATAGCTAAGAGCGGTCACGTTCACTACACATGCATGCTTTCTTATATTGCACAACAACAACCATACCGAATACAAGTATGCTACCCATGTATGCTATCCATGTGAAAATACCGCTTTTGCATCGTTTTCCTCCGGCCAAAACCGTTTTGCGGCCCGGCTATCCGGTGTCCTAGCGGCTCATCGCTCATAGTCGTTATCTACCCGTATCTTCCGTGTCTCTCCCGTATCTCCCCGCGTCTCTCACCCGCCGACGGTGAGCAGGAAGTATTCATGCTGTTGGAAGTCGCCGCTGGTCTGAGAGCCTGTCGAACTCCTCCGGTCACCGAGCGAGTCCCAGTCGCCGGGCCGCGCGTACCCCAGCTCCTGTTCGCTCGGCTCCGCGGCCTGTACCCCGCTCCAGGACACAGAGGAGGCCGCAGACGAGCGGCTACTGGGACACGAGCTGCTGCCCGGCCGGCGCCACTGGGGCACCGCAGCGGTCGGTACTGGAGGCAGCGGCGTGCTGGGGAGGGGGAGGTCGGAGGTCAGACACGGTGCCGGCGGTAGCCTCACACCTGGGGGGGGGGGGGGTCGGATCGATCAGGGGCACGTCAGAAGTTGAACATGGTTCAACTAATCACAGGACACTTTTTGGATCAAGTCAGGGCTCATCATACACAGCGTGATCCATCCACCGACTTCTCATGTGTTTTTCTGAACCGGTTCCTTATCTTACTTCACGTTTTGGAAGGCCAGTTTTGAAATGAGATTGTTTTGCCGTACACATTTCTAGGGATTTCACGATCACCCATTGGCCTACCTGAGTATGCTGGCCTTGGAGTCTGCGCCCACGCTGCGCCGGTGACTGCTCTGCCGACTGAAGCGGGCTGGTCCCGGGGAGTCGGCGCCGGGCGCAGGCCCCGTACCGGCGGCGGCCAGTCGCAGCTGCCGCTGGCACTGCAGCAGACGACGGTGCAGCGGCTGCACACTGGCCGGAGCCAGCTGGCCGTGCAGACTGAGCGCCTGGTCCAGAATCGAGAGCTGCGGAGGGGGAGAGGGAGGGGTCAGCGGAGACCCGAAAAAATGAGACATACCAACGAAGGAATGGGTTGTTAGAGCAGGAGATCGTGGTCGACTGGAACTGCCAGTAAGGGCAAAGTTAGTTTTGTTACAACAGGATAAATAATCAAAGTGTCTACCGATGTGATGTGTTGTTTTTCAGATTGTTTCGGTCTGACCCTGTGGTTCTGCCGGCCGACTGACCTGCTCCTGGATGAGCCCCTTCAGCTGCGCCACGTGCTGCACCATGTCCGGGTTCTGGGCAGCGAACTCGGCAGTGAAGAACGCCTCCTTGAAGTTGCTGTGGCCTCCGTTCACCGCGGCGTCTATGATGCCCTGCGCAGGCGAGCGAGACGAAGCGGTAGGACAGGGTTAGAACGGAGACAAAATGCAACGAATTCTCACTAAATAACAAGAAAAAGTTATTATGTCTAAGAGATTACATAATTTTCCTCTCAAAACGGAATCAAGTCTATCGACAGCGGCCGGTTAGCTTAGTTGGTTAGAGCGTCGTACTAATAACGCGAATGTCATGGGTTCGACCCCCATACTGGCCAGTCTCTCCCGTTTTGACGTTTTGACCCAGCCACTGTCAAAACACCGCCTATGTCACCCACCCGCCCCTCTCTCCCTCTCTCCCTCTCTCCGCTCTCACCTGGAGCCGCATGCTGAGCGGACTGACGTTGGTATCGGCCACCGGCGGCGAGTACCGTCCGATCAGCTGACGCAGCTGGCGGTTGGCCGCGCTCACCGTCTCACAGCCGTGTCTCACCGGCGAGATGAGCTCACGGCGCGCGGAGCTCACCGGGAACCAGCGCAGGATGCCCGGCAGGGGCGACTCGATCTGCAGCACGGTCCGCTCCAGCCACAGGGTCTGAGGGAGGGCATGAGTCAAAAGTTGTGGATGGACTGGCAACAGGTCAGCCACAGGGCAAGGACGACGCAGCCACAGGTCGCAGGTCACAGCTCACATATACGTATCACATCAACAGATGAACCTGGTACAGATCAGACATGGTGCAGACTGAAGTCACAGGCCAAAGGCTAACAGGTCACAGGTAAGACCATTGACCGACAGGTCACAGGTCAGGCATTGATCAGTCACTGGTTTGGGACAGCGTGGTCCTACGTCAAAAATGGCACGGTCACAGACAGCAAAAGTTAACGCTCTTCCCCCTCCCCCCAATGCCACATACTTTCTGAGATCAGAGACCTGTTATTCCCCCAATCCCCACTCGCCCCCAGTCTGCTCTAACTGACCTTGAACTCGTTATCCCTGTCCACAGAGCCGCGGTGGACGGGCCGGTCGAACTGGAACGTGTCCACATCGTTCACCAGGTGGAACGCCTGAATTTTGGCGGGAACGTCCAGCTGTTGGCGGGAGCCGGACTCGCGAGCCACCGGCCGCACGTTACAAATCTGAATGTCTGTTGAGTGCTAAAGGTCAAGGGAAACAACGAAAAACGGCAGTCGTTGAAGTGGCGAGAAGCTTAGAGCCAAGCTTAGAGCACTAGCTGCTTAAACATTGGAAAACCCTATCGAAGATGCGTATAATCTATGAATACGTCTACTACCGACAGCATTGCATAAACTTATCATTTGCAGAGACAGCATGACTTTGTTAAATAGAAATCAGAGCCTTAACCTCCCGGCCCAAATTAAAATATTTCGTCCTCCTTGGTCGGAAAATACCCCTTTTCAGAATACAAAAAGAAAATAAACGCACAGAAACGCTTCCACAAAAAGCATCCCGTTTTTATGATATGTGCAGAAATATTGAAAACAGAACCTCTCAGCATCCATGATCGATACGTCTCCACTCATGTATGAAAAGGATACACTGCGCCGGTGCGTTCATGATGTTCTCGTCAGGTGGCGCTAGTGTCGTCATCAGCTGAGCGGCGGGGAACTCGGTCTGAAGGCGCTGGGTGAACGTGGCCAGCCGCTCGTACTCCAGACCCCGATACACAAACACCTTATTCTGGAAATAGAAAACGGGAAAACGTCAAACTGAAAAACCGTCCGTCGTTTCCATCCTCAGGACATTCAAATCCTTCTCCTCCACGCCGCAACCCTCAGTCTGGGCTAGACAGGCACCTTTATATCATGCGGGCTGCTCCCGGGGGAGCGGCATGTTGCTGGCCCGAGACAGCGCACCCCGTAGCCGGGTGCAGAGTGCTTGGGGGCTGGTCGGCCTGTCCATTCGGACGGGCTCAGCCCCGGGGACTCTCTAGCAGGGCTGCGGAGTCGATGGATTTTCGGCGACTCCGACTCAGACTCCGCCTCCGGCTTTCAAAAACCAGCTCCGACTCCGACTCCGGGCAGAATTGTCGACTCCGACCGACTCCAACTCCCGACTCCGACTCTGCAGACCCAGCAGGGCTGCGGAGTCGACAGATTTTCGGTGACTCCGACTCCGACTCCGGCTCGGGTTTCTAAAATCGACTCCGACTCCGACTCCGACTCCGTCTGGCCTGAGGGAGCTGGAAACGGTGCAAAGACAGGCGTGCAGGACAATCACCGGATGTGTCAGATCTACACCAGTGGACGCCCTGGCCAGAGAGGCGGATCTCCTGCCTTTCTCGGCGCGGCGGAGGCAGTTGGCGGCTGTGGCGATGGAGCGCCACTCCCGGGACCTACCAGGCGACCCTGTGCAGCGGATCCTCCTCCCTGAGAACCGCCCCCGGCAACGTCTGCGCTATGACAGAGGATGGGCACGGACGGGCCAAGAGATATCCAAAGACGCCGGCCTAGACGACTTCCCACGCGAACCGTTCCTGGTGGTTGCCAGCACCCCTCCCTGGGAGTCACCGCCACCTCCAACGGTCCTCTTCCACACTGGACTTGTGAGGCCGCTACCGCAAAACGCCCCCGCCGAACAGCGACGGACTGCCGCCGAGGAGACGCTAGCCGGACTGCCGAACCCGGACGTCCAGGCTTTCACGGACGGCTCGGCCACAGCCGGCACAGAACGAGGCGGAGCAGGGGCAGTCGTCTATAGGAGCGGCAGGGAAGTGAAGAGGATCCGAGCGCCAGCGGGGCGCTTCACGTCGAGCTACACAGCGGAGCTTCTCGCTCTACGAGAGACACTCAAATACATCGAGTCCATCCTCACCGATCAAGACCCTGCACTCAACATCCAGCTGTGCACCGACTCCCTATCATCCCTCATGCGTCTGAGGGAAGGCCCGGCCAACCAGACTGAACGGGTCGCTGACCAAGTCTGGCTATCCCTCCGGCGACTAGGACGACGCCACCGCGTGGACCTTCAGTGGGTTCCCGGTCACGCGGGAGTCGCCGGCAACGAGATCGCCGATGCCGTGGCCAGGGAGGCCGCTGAGCTGCCGCAGGACGGGACACCCATCACCTTCGCGGCGGCCAAGAGCCTGCTGAAGCGTCACGTGAGCAGAGAGTGGGTGGAGAGCACGCGCCACTCCCGACCGGCTCCCGCGACCCGCCCGCACCTAAGCCACGACTACCACGATGTCGTCGGCCCGGGCAGGGTCAGGCTGGCAGACAGGCTCGGCCTGTCTAGGAGAGAGGGCACCGCTCTGGCGCGCCTCCGGACCGGCCACTCTCCTGCCCTGCAAGCTTACCGTCACTTCATCGGGGCGGAGGAGGACGATGGGTGCCCGACCTGCGGCGGCGGAGTCAGGGAGGACGCGGAACACTTCCTGACGTCGTGCCCCGCGACGGCCCGCGTCCGTCACGACGTTTTCGGGAGAGAGGACCCGACGCTGCGGGAGGTCTTCGCTGACCCATGCCGGGTTATCGAGTTCCTGCGGCGCCTGGGCCGACTATAGAGCGCCCACGGCGCTAGACACTCTGGCGGGGTGCTGGGTTCTCCGGCCCTACCCGGCGTCTGAGTCCGCCGGAACCCGCCCGGGGGCCTGCTGCCCTCCCTGCGCGGACGTCGCAGGTGTCGCCCCCGAGGGGGGCTGGGGCCCTCACGGGCCCCCCATGTGGGCCCACCGGGCCCGACGGCCGGAACGACAACAACAACAACAACTCCGACTCCGGTCACAACTGTCGACTCCGACCGACTCCGACTCCGACTCCGACTCCGACTCCGCAGCCCTGCTCTCTAGGGTGTCTGCCGCAGACCAATGTCTCCCCCTAATTCCTATCATCCTTTCGGCCCTTTAGACCGAAAGGGCCTAACCCAACAAAACAAAACAAACAAACAAACCATGCCCTCTCTCTACGTACCCTGACGAAGGGCGGGAACTGCTGTCCGTAGAAGCCGACCCGGAAGTACTCCGGCTCGGGCCTTAGCTGACTCATGATCCGGTCATAGAAATCCGCCATGGTGCGCAGTGTCTCACTAAGTCGCCCGTAGTCGAACACGCGCGTCTCGTACTGCTCTGCCAGCTCCTTGAGCAGCGGGATGCCGAGCTCCCAGCACTTGGCGCGGTCCACATAGTCGACCATCTGCCGGAGCAGCTGCTCCTTTCGCTGCCACTCACAGTGGGCCGGGTAGCGCAGGTCGGCGTGCAGCACCCGGGTGCTCCACTCGAGCTGATCGGCGTGCAGGCGCAGCGTCAGCGCGGCCTCCACGTAGTTCTCGGCCGAGACGTGCAGGTCGTGTAGCTTGTAGATGTAGCGCTGGTACATCTCCGAGCGGTTCACCTCGCTCTTGTAGAAATTCTGTAGCAACGAACGGCCACAGGTTAACAGAAACATCAATCGGGGTAACAAGATGAACGGCGTTTATGGTCTCACAAGCTAAAATGATTTCGTTTTCCTATGAAGCTATAGAAATAAAGTGGTTTACAAGGTAGGTACAGCAAGTTACGATCGAATACGACAGAACCGAACACGCTTTCTCGAGTTATTCAACGGCTACAATCCCCGCCTGAAATGGACCACCGGTCGACGCCCCGCGACTGACCAGCAGGTTGACGGTGCAACTCATCCGTTTGTCCCTGTTCTCGTCACCCTCCATGACCTGTCGGTAGTCCAGCAGCCGCTCCAGCAGGCGCGTCACCGACAGCACGAACCGGACGCCGGCGTCCCGCCAGGGCGGCCGCCGCTGCTGTACCTCCGTCAGCAGGCTGCAGGGGGGCGGGTCAGGTCAGGTCACGGCACTGGGCAGGCTGGTTCAAGGTAGAGAACGATAGTGTAACGCAAGGGCAGGACATGTCCGTTGGAGTGTAGAACGAACACAGCTCAGTCAGTCCACTGGGCATGATGGGTCAAGGCAGGACAGTGCAAAGCAAGAAAAGGTAGACCAAGGAAGATCAGAGAAAGATAAGACAAAACGGGTAGCATCGATTATCTCGGAGTATCTAACCTTTGAGCCACGATCACACATGCGGCCACTGATCCGACATGATCTCACTATTTATATCGGGAGGTTACTTGTGAATTACAAAATGGTCGGAAAGTTGGAACTCACATGTTCTGGAAGAGTCTGCGATAGTCGTCGTCACCTTTGTCTTCACTGACGAGGATGTCCAGTTTATCGATCACCTCAGTCTCAACCTATCACAAAGATCCAGGAGTGAGGCACATGCATACAGTCGCATCTAGTTCACCAGAATCGCAATAGCACAACAAGCTTCGAACAGCACGATGTATATCCTGCCGCAAAACACCGAGCTCAAAACTGGGCACATCAGGCTCCAGCAAGAGAGGTCGCTGAGTCCTGAAATCAGCAATCATATGCAAAGTACCAATGGTAGTGCGCTGGATAACGCCGTCAAACTTGTAGAATAGCATATGCTAGGCGCGTAACCACAATACCTTCAGACATTAGACAAAACTATAACTCTGCAACAACAGCTCGACTGGATAATTTCCGTCCCCTCACCTGTTTGAAGGTGCCCCGGGCGGCCTGTTCCGCCCCCATCAGCTCATAGAAGACGGGCAGAGTGGCCCTGCGCAGCTCCGGCGCCGGCAGCAGCGTCAGCTCCAGCATCGCGCCCACCAGAGACGGCACAAAGTGCGCCTTACGGTCGCCTGACGAGAGAAATGGGAAAACAACAATGACGGCACGAAATGAAGCTTTTGGTCACCTGGCGGTGGAATGGGCGGCTAAACACAAAAATGGCCCACGAATTGCAGACCCGCCAGCACTCTTATCAAAATTCACACAACGTATCACTTATCAAAATTCACAAAACATATCACTGCTGTGAATGTAGCATGACAATCATTTGTTTGACCTTCGAGTATTTCCCAAACATTTCAATGAGCTGGTACAGGGCACCCGCCATCCATCGGCTCACCGAGCAGACGCCACATGGAGAGCACCTCGAAGCCCATGACGATCCGCATGTCCTGGTGGCTGTGCAGCAGCTTATCTCTCTTGATCTCGGAGAAGGTCTCCAGCTGGAGGTCCGGCTGGGTGGCGAACGCCACAGACAACGTGAAGTAGCTGTGCCACAGCTGGGGACGAGAAATGGCGATAGTACGGTCAACGTCCCTCACCGTCCATTGGAGCCCACCGCCTCACTCACTTGCGAATTCAGCCGAGTGGTAATAGCTTGTCATGTGGCAGCCATAAGCTATAACAAAAGCCATTTAATTAAAATACACCGGACAAGTCTCCTTCTGGTTGCCCTTATCGAGTATAGGTACAGCTGGCGCCACCTATAAAAGACTACAACGCGTTGTGCGGTACAGCCTACATTCAGGCGCTTACACTACGCCATCTATGGACAAGTTTCTGAACATGAGCCAACGGTATTATATTTACGCTAAAAGGAATTATGAGTATGTTTAACCCTTTTGTGCATTATTGATGACATCGTCATGCAAATATTACAAAATGTATAACAAATGTGTACGGCTTCCAAATGAAACATTGAAGACGTCAAATACCAAATCACGTGTAACTATTCGACGAAGCTACTCCCGGTGCTGTACCAGTTGGTTGAAGCTGTCTCCCTGCAGGAAGCGGGCTCTGAGAGGAGTGGAGAGCTCCTTCAGCGTGTTCAGGATCACCTTGTTGACGGTCATCTTCAACACGCACCAGTCGCGGGGGTACATCTAAAAGGGAAATAGGCAGTCAGGCTGAGCAACAGGACGGTAGAGCTGAGGGACGGCATGCATCAGTCATGGGGGTAGATCTGAGGGGATAGATGGTCGGTCCTCAGACTGAGGGGCGGCGCGGAGCGCTGGCACTGCCACAAAACTGCTAGAATGGCAACACGATCAGGTCTTGGTGGCAGAGAAGGTCACAGGAGATCAGCAAAGAGCAGTTATTGGTGCGAGTTTATGCCTTTTTACTTTCATATCATTATGTATTACGATCACAATACACCATATACCGAGTAAAATTGACCCAGCAATACAATTACTTATGCTGCACCTAACCCAAAGGTGACAGGTCATGAACATACTCCCTACCCAGGCCCGGGCCAAGTGACACTTCCAAAATAACTAGAACCCGGACCGATGATCTGGTCACACAGCCCTGCAAATTCTTACCTGTTCAGTGATGAGCTCCCTGAAGAGCGCCATCAGTCGCAGCAGGAACTGGCAGAGCTGCTCGTCGTCCGCCATTTCGGCCCACAGATGGCAGTAGTGTGCCGGCGCCATCAGCCGGAGCAGGGTGGCCAGGGCAGCCACCAGCCGGCCGCACTGCCCGCCGCCAGTTCTCAGAGGGGTCGACTCCAGGGAGAGGACGGCTCGGACCAGCGTGTCGGCGAGGTAGAGCGAGAGGATCTCCACCTCGCGGCCCGTGTCGCCGTCACCGTCACACTGGGGGAAAGCAGCAACAGCACAGAATCGTCACAGACCCGTTATAGGACCTACAGGGAGAGTCTACTCTCCAGACTCGTCTAACTATTTCTTCATATTGCCCTCCGCTCCATTTACATGATGCTAGACGGGCAAAGCGCCATCAACTTAAGACATTTTACATGTACATAAGTTCGCCGGAGATCTCGTCACCTTGAGCTGCTGGACGATGGTGAGCAGGTCCCCAAGTAGGTCGGTACTGAGTCGCACCTCCTGGCGGTGCCCGATGTGGTACTGCAGGTGCTTACACATCGTCTGTAACAGCTGACGGCGGCACTCTGAAGGGGAGGAAACGGAGCAGCTCAGTTAAACTTTCTAATGGCGATAGGAATTCGATATTTGTCCAAGCAGCTTGTCCAAGCGCTTTTGAAGAGACAGTGTGCTGATAAAAGGCTACTGGTAAGCAACTCGCGTAAGGATGGGTCTTCTATGCAGCCTTGCCAGCTCGACAGACGCTGCAATTCAGCCTGCTCTCCAAACCAATGAACTCAGACTCCAACTGATCACTGGATGTTGACTTCTGACCCTAACTGACCCGGGACCGTTGACCTCTGACCCAAACCGAGCTCTGACTCTAACTGACCCCTGCCGTTGACCTCTGATTCTCACCTCTGTCCTGAAACAGCTGCGATCCGGCTGTGGCCTGCATCGCCTTCAGCTTGGCCTGCGTGACGCACGTCTGGGGGTCGCGCGGCAGGGCCTCGAACATGAGGGAGAGCCGGCGGGCCAGATCGGCAGCCGGCACCACTGCGGCCAGACGGTCGCAGACGGCCGGCACCGACGACAGCAGCGCCACCTGTAATAGATCAGAGTGTTACCAGCGCCTACCGCAGAGGAGCGCACGAGTTTTCAGACAATTGGTCTGACACCAGCTAATTGCAGAACACAAAAAAGTATTACAAGAACATGAGGAAGCCATGTAACAGTGAGGGGTAATGCGACTGATGTAGATTATGTGCCACCTTTCACAAAAGCTCTGCAACCAGCCTCGCCTCAGTGCTATCAGCTGCCCTACCTGTGCTATGCCTTCAGTCCCTATGTATTTATTCGCCCCCACCTGCGTGATGCTGGCTGCCCTTCTCCTGCATACTGTCAGCCACCTTACCTGAGTGCTGACGGCAGCGTCTGACGTCGCGCTGGACAGTGTCCTATTGAACACGTTAAACAGCTCAGCCAGGTCGACCCTGAACGTGTCGTCTGACCCGCCGCCGCTCTGCCGCGCCAGCAGCTGGCGCGAGCGGACCACAAACTGGAAGACGAGCTCGAGCGCGCGAAAACAGCGCGCCAGCGGCTCCTGGCGCTCCGCCACCGACACCTGCTCGGCGTAGTGGCGCACGCAGCTCACCAGACCCCTGAAATAGCATCAGAGAGTTCGTCAGAACAGTGCAGACTCCTGAGACATGAGCAGCAGCTCACAAAGCCTCTGAAACAACGGACCATCAGACCAGACTCACCAGACATAGTGCACTGCATACCAGACCAGCGACCAGCCTCATCAGACACGAAGCATAGCAGGCCAGCATACGCGGCCTGACGCATAAGACCACAACAGACGACTAGCCCAGTGGAGCCCGACACATAAGACAAGCAGCTCACCACACCAGGACCAGACGACTGTGCTCCGTCACCAGAAGCCGACCCAGCTCAAAGACAGCGTTCTCAATCTCAAGCAATAAATAGTGTAAAGCGATTTTGGAAGTCGCCGCTTTTTATTCCCACCCTGGGTAATGTCGAGGGTACTTACTTGTAGACCAGAGCTGCTGCGAAATGTCCGCTGACGTAGGCCTCGAGCACGGGTCGGAAGTGCTCGAACCTGTTGTCCTGCAAGTGACTGAAGATGCTGACCTGAGGAAGACATCAAAACGTCGTGTCAAATGGTAGGTTGTGGTTCATTTTATCGCAACTAGGGATCGCTAGACTTCCGATAATCGTCCCATTCGAGCATTGAATAAATTTTCATTCATTTTCATTTAGCTCTCGCAGATGTGTCGAGTACTTAGTGCAATATGAAACATATCAACATGACTCTATTTGTTTCGCGCACCTGATATTACTCTTGATTGTTTTGATGCTCACCGTTTACTGTAGCGGACAGGTTCTGGCAAACTATTGCAATCGCTCAAAGAGCACTGTCTCAACAGACCATTCATGACACCACAGTAAACGGTTCAGCGCAGACTCATATACGAAAGACTACCTTTGCTAGTTTATTGCCGACAATTTTATCCACTTCCCTGCCAAGCTCACGTCCAGCTGATTTCCCTTCTGCCCAGAACTCACCAGGGCCTGAAACACCAGTCCCGAGTGCTGCGTAGCCGTGCCGTCGTCGTTGGAGAACATGGCGAACAGTGCATCCAGCACGTCCTGCAGGAACTTCATCACCTCCTCTCCCTTCAGCTTCATGACGCGGCTGAGCGTGTCGGCGATCCGTTCCGGGTGCTGCCGCCACTTCAGCAGCGACAGCAGGTCGCCTGCCGGCGGCGGTAAGGGATGGTTGGGGTAAAGGGAGGGCCGGTATCACACGAATAAAACACTGTGAATAAATCCGACGCAGATATGCACTGCAAAACCAAGACGAAAGTTCATGAATGCGTTACGTGCAACTGCACATGCCTCCAGCTCTACCTCCAATCATATACCTAATCTTTGAAGGTGCACTTAAACTCCATTTCGCTTGACGGTAGGTAGCATCTAACGGTATGCATTCTTCTCATGTCGTCTGAAACATTAGAAGCAGTAGATGACTCGTCCACGTCAACCAGCTGCTACGCTCAACTTACATAGCGTAGCTTACTGTTTGCTATATACGCTGTCACTAATATTTGTACAAGTTCACCTCACTTCGTTCCGATCGTTGTCGACTCACCGTTCTGTGTGAGTTTGGTGGAGCAGAGCTGAGTCTGGACCCAGACAGATTCGCGAGCCGACCGATTAAAGTGGTGGTTTCCACTGACTGCCACCTCCGCCTGACCCGAGTGCCACGCCAGGTTCAGGTACGACGCCGGGTTCTGTCGGAGAGAATAAAACAATGACAACGAGAGACTGCGCATGGGCTAACCGGGATATGTTGAAAACAGAAGTACCAACGCACCGCAGATATGCAAGTTAGATCGTTTAACCCTATTAGTGGCAGGGGGGGAGGTTGTTTTCATCCACCCCTCAGGTTTCTCGGGAATATCTCCGAAACCGCTGAAGCTACGATGCTGAAATTTTCTGACTTTTCCTAAAACTAAATTGGGCACATTCCCTGAAAATTTCAAGTTCCTAACTTTACCAGGGGCGGCTCCAGAGCACTGGGAATTGGGGGGTCCTATTCGTGAAGCGAGTCATTTGGGCGAAGATCACGATGCTGCACCAGTTTTACGAACAGTGAATGAAAGGTATCATGTGATAACATATACAGTTATTGTGCATCCTCTTTTGACACGTTTTTGCTATAATAGGCGGATCCAGGCGTCCAAAAAGGGGGGTTATGTTTTACCTCCCAACATAGGTGCCCTGACACCGCCTATGCATGACCAATACAATTGTAGTCGTTCTCTCATAAGAAAATTGTAACATAACAAGACCATTACCACCCTTTTTAGAAACAGTACCAACAAAAACCTTATTTACTATACATTTTGTGTACCCCCAATCTCAATGATCTGTATCCGCCTATGATTTTTGAAAATGCATATTTTTAGGATCCATGTGAATTCCTGGTTCATTCTCTATCGATCGGCAAAAGTTGCGTTAAGATTGGTTCAGAAACCTGGCCGTGATAAACAGTCTAAAATGTATCTGCAATTTGCCCGTTTTTACCCCCTTCTACCCCCCCCCCCCCTATTGACATTTTTTAATTTTTATTTTTTAGAAATGTAGATCACGTTGAGCGAAATCGAATGCCGTTTGAATTTTGAAAATCGGCCCGTTAGATCTCGAGATATCAAGGGGGGGGGTCGTAAACAGCCCCCCCCTGCCACTAATAGGGGTAGCCAGGAGCCTGCCACTAATAGGGTTAAATATGTCACTTTATACAGCTGGAGCAGGAGCTATATTATTAGTCTGGAGCTATATTAGTATTAGTATTATTGTTCGTTGAACCTGCTGCACTTCTAAGCAAATGATCCTAGAAGAGAGCCGTCCTCCAGGAATAGCGCACTACACGCAGAAATAGCATCATCACTACCAGCAGAGTTCCAAACACGTCCGAACTACCCACCCGAACGCACCGCCTGTCATTTTCAGACGCAAGAGAGCTGCTCCGCCCAGTGTGAGCGGTCATTTATGCACGCTCGGCGGCCGGTAAGTGGACGGTATTGACACAGCACGGAGCGGACGGACATACCGCGGCACGGTCAGTCAGAGAGGCATTGGTATGCCGCGGGTAGGATGGAACTCGGCTCTTGACCACATGGACAGGACGGCTGGGAGGACGGGACAGGACGGGACGGGACGGGACGGGAAGGGGTGGACGGGGGGGGGTTACCTTGCCGGTAATAAATTCTAGCAGCAAACAGATCTTTTTGCTTTGAAGGAAATAACGTCATGTCAATTTACATAGTATATGGAGCACAGGTCGAAGAAAAGCCAATACAGCAAATAGGCCCGACATACGGCCAACGCCAGCATTTCATATGTTTTTGATCTACCGGCCGTTACCCGTTGTCATCCATCGTCATCCTCTGTCCCTGTACGACCACCCACCAGCAGTTTGTTCCTGTCGTCACATTTATAGACGCAGAGCTGACGCAGTCCGTCGCCGATCGTCGCCCCTTCATCGTCCATCAGCCGAGCGAACGCGAACGCAAACAGCTTCTGCTCGGCGCGCTCCTTGGCTGCAAAAGGTCACATAAGGTCAAAGAGAGGTTACGAAAGGTCAAAGAGGACCACAGCACGTCACTGACGGGTCACAGATCATTGGCGGGTCAAGACACTTCATCAAAGGGTTACACGTCGCAAATGGACGGGTCATATCAGGTCACAGAAAAGAACATCAGGTCAGAGACGGGTCACAGGGGGGTCACGGAGACGTCACATCAGCTCACATAAGGTCACAGACGGGTAGCAGAAGGCTGCCTAAAACGGATGCATTTATTCCACTGACATCGAACAATAAGATCCAATATTTTCTACGCACGCAAAGTCCGATAGCGGATTTAAACTCTCACCTTCTAGATAAAACAGGCAGCCTTCCAGTTAACAGCTCGACCCTTCCCATCTCCTCTCCTCCCCCTCACATTTCTGCGTCGCGTCTGGCGCTCGTTTCCGCTGACAGTTCCGACAGCCTCTCTCGGCGTCACCCGTCCGCTCCCATTAGACACATCATCGCCGTCGACTGTCGCCGTCTTTACCCCTTACCGCCAACACCGACCGTACACAGCCCACGTCGCCTCGACGGCGATCAACACGCCCCGTTGCAAAAGACCTGCGATAACGCGGTCGGGAGCTCTGACCGCCGGCGGCGGTGGGCTGCGTGCCAGCCGGCGGCGGCGAACGCCCCGTGCCCCGGCGGGTGCACGTGCGGACTGGTGCGGTGCAGTCACGGAGACGAATGAATGCAATGAGCGCAATGTATGAACTATGATGCATTGGGTAGACTGCACATATGTCAACGATAGTCAGATGGCTCGCGAGGGCTGAGATGGGTGACACTGACAGAGAAGCTCAGTGTAATGTAAATGTATTTATAAACGGGTATATAATGTGAATATCAAGTAAACAGCCAGTGCATCGAAAGACGTCATATTGAGTGAGGTAACAAACTATACCCACTTCAAAGCACAAATGTATAGCGTATAAATCGGAAATGACGGCGGATGCTATAGACCGGCCCAGTGGGGCTGAGAGCAGCCCCTGAATTCCCAGTCTGAAGTGAATGCCACCATCTGCCATCCACGCGAGATCGGTGTCCATTTCCGGTGCTAAAGGCGGGTTCAGACGTCTGTTCAGACGGGCGCGATCCGCCGGTACGCGTGAGAGAGGCCCAGTCAAGGTTACGGAAACAAACTCCAGGAGCGATAACAAACGGATGTGGCCCCGCCGGCCGACACACAGACGGCAGTGTGAGTGTGAGGAACACCGGTGTTACCAGGCGGGAGCTGACGTCACAGCCAGCGCTGCCAGATTGGAGACATGGCGCGGTATACACACAGGGTGGGGTGTGTTGCCAGACCGCAGAACCGGCGGTTTACATAGGTGACGGCTAAAGTTATCTTGGATGACGCATGGGGATAGTGTGTAACTGACTCGACCAAACGACTGGGACCTTTGTCTGCGACCCCAGACCGCACATATTTGCGCTATGACGGCCAGATAACAGCCGCAAGATAGGGATAAAGCGGCCCGAACCGCCTTAGTACAGATAACAACCGCAGAGCGCAGCTAAAACGTGTAAAAAGACGTAAGAATTGTTAGTGCGGTGAAGAGATATGCACTTTAGCTGGATGGCAAATTTCAGCGATTTTCTAATGAATGACTCGACTCGATTTCAGCGATTTTCTAATGAATGACTCGATGGTTAACCCGCGCCCCGTAGGGCTACCGGCGGACCCTACCACCCGTAGTGGGGGGCCGTTTCGGCCCCCCCCCCCCCTAAGATCTCGGAAAGTTACCGGCCGATTTTCAAAATTCAAACGGCGTTCGATAGCCCCACCCAGGAACTACCTTGTGACCAAATTTCATTGACCTAGGTCAAACTGATGACGTCACAGGTCAGGTCAAAGGTCAGATTTTCACCGTTCACAGGCATTTCAAGAAATGTGTTGTGAAATCGAGTTAATTGGTAATTTATTGAAAACCATCGATCGTACATTGTTCTTCAAACACATACTTTGCTATCTGAGGTCACTGATACCAGGTCAGGTCACAGCGAGGTCAGGTCACCGGGGGTCACAATATGAAAGTGTCGTGTGATACATGTTTTACATGACAAATGCGATTTTGTGGGTTGGGCAGCCTTTGGGGCCAGCCTAGGTCACGTTTTGGTGAAGGTCAGGTCAAGGTCAGGTCAAATTAGGTCAAATTTCAAAGTTGCTATTTTTGCATAAAATGGGTATCGATTCGATGCAGCTCGTCACGTGGAGTCTAATGGTGGTCTTTGTTTTGCTCTACGAGGTCTAGAATTGCCAAAAATTGAGTTTGAAAATTTGACGTCATCATTTTTGAACAGTTTTTTCGCTATAACTTGGCCAAAAAACGAGGTACCTATCGATCTGAAATTTGGTATGTAGATAGAAGACGGTAGGTACTATCACATATATTCCGGTTTTTTCGAAACTCAAAAAACTTTTTGGATTTTTTGGCTAATATATCCAAAAAAATGCTTTTTTGACTTTTGGGGGCCAAAACTCAAAATTTTCAAAAATCCGAGATAGCAGTTTTGTAGCCCTGTCAATTCTACACCTTTTATGTCTTGATCATTTTTCTGTATCTTCTAAGCTGTAGGCCTGACAGGTCTTCTCGCGAAGGTCTTTTTTCGGTCGAAAATGACAGAACATGACGTCATTCTGACGTCATTTGTGGCCAACCTATCATAGCCTCTGGAAAAGTTTTGGTCACAATGTGTAAAATTGATGCCCGGAGGGGTCCTGAAACTGTGGTGGCGATATCTCCAGCCGTTTAGGAGATATCGACCGAAAAGGACAGGGGGGCCGTTTCGGCCCCCCTCCCCCCTACGGGGCGCGGGTTAATGAATAATTGTCGTTGGTGTATTTAACGACGCCCAAAGTTGGGAATGACGAAACACAACGTATGTACGTGCTCATTTAGGAGGGTAGCACAGCACAATCTTCTTCGGAATCACAAAAATTTCAGGAATGTTGCAGGGGAAACATCAGTTATTTGCTATTTAACTCTCCGCAATCCGTCTTATATTTCCTCTTGAAGAGAACGCAAACATATACACTATACGCAACGTTATTCAGCGCATGTGATAACGATGGAAGAGTCCCAATTAGTATGCAGCAGTTCCCGGCTCCTTTTTTACAGCTAACATTCAAAATAACTTTTCCAGTTTCCACTAACTTTCACCACTGACGTCTGACCTTTAGGACTAGCTGCATGCCTATAGCAGCTGGATCGTAACCCGAATTTACTCATGAATACATGCAGGTACTGCAGGACTAGCCCGCAGTTGCTTTGCGCACCAACTGGAACCGACCCGTAGTTTCCCGGACGAACTGCTGGAGTTCACCCATTATTACCGCCCGAGTAATCAAAAACGAACTTACTGCTAGAGCAGTGGCTGAACTCGAGTCGCACGTGGGCGGCGCCGAACAGCTCGATGGGCACCGCCAGCCGGATGGTGTCGGCCCAGCGCGGAGTGTTGTTGTGGTACAGCACTGTCGAGCTGTACCGCTGGGTACCCGGCTGGCCGGCGGCGCTCACAATACAGTCCTGGGGAGACGGCGGTTCGGCGTGTTAGTGAGTGGCGTCGGAGACACGGCAGCGGTGACTGGGGTCGTGAAGATTGATCAGAGAGGGGACGGTGGTAGTTCGTTGCGATTCACGGATTTCTAAAGCACAAAAATATCATTATTATTTCTAATGACAATTGCAAAAAAAAAAATCATTCGTTGAATGTTCAAAAATGCCTTAGCAACGACACGTTAAAAATCATATGACTCTGATTTCCTGGAGCACAAGTTTCAATTGCGGATTCAGTCCGCAGAAAGTCGTACACAGATATCGTGCCGTCACTCCACACCGCGCCCCGTGCCGTCCGTCTCACCTCCACCAGGCGTCCGTCGGCGCGCACCACCATCACCGCCACCTCGATGTTCTTGCCGGTCGACTTGCCGCCCCTCTCAAACTCGGCACGGTCCAGCGTCAGGTACAGGTCGTTCCTAAGGGGAGAATAGTTTACCGTCAGGTACAGGTCGTTCCTGAGGGGAGAGTAGTTTACCGTCAGGTAGGTACAGATCGTTCCTGAGGTCGGAGTACCATATAGCGTCAGGTACAGGTCGTTCCTGAGGTCAGAGTACCATAGCGTCAGGTACATATCGTTCCTGAGGGACTATTACGATGGCGTGAGTCAGGTACAGGCCATTCCTGCAGAGGCACAGTGGTCATGAGGAGAGACGTAGCGTCAGCTCTCTTCTGCCCGCCATCTCTGCATCATGCGCTCCTTGCGTGAAGGTCAGGCCATGTCAGCTCTTTGAGGGGCTGTTCCCGTGGACAGATACACAGGTAACTCTGCCCTATCCCGGACCCCATTATACCGCGCCAGTAGCGGCGCCGTGATCTGCGCCGATATCGTCTCGTGGCGCGCCGCTGCGCCGCCGCTCGTCCCGCCGGCGCCACAGCCGCCTCCGCAGCGCTGTGTTCCAGGCGGAGCTGACAGTAGCTGGTATGGGGGGGGGGCGGCCACAACTACTCAGAGATGGATATCGGATGATCGGAATCCGCGGAATGTCGGGACAGGAGTGCGGTCAGGCCTGATTCCTGGAACGCATAGTGAAGGGATCGAAGGCACCTGTAATCACTGATGTGTACTGAATTTTTAATAAGTGACCATCTGTCGTTTCTTGAGGCACTCTGAGCGGCCACAGAAGGAAATAAACGAAAATCGACATGTTGTTACACACCTCAACTCGCAAAATAGCTGAAAAGATGACACCCTGAAAAACGTGTAGCGTGAAGCTTGTGAACGAGCGGAAGACGTTCGGTACAATACCTATTACAATGCAAGCAATCGTCATCATCAATGAAATAAACAAAAATAAGATACCTATCAGTTGTCACTGACCTGACATCTCCCGGCATGATGACGTCCGGAAAGCCGAGTTTTCTGGCGATGGCAGCGTGTTTCAGCAGGAGGGGATGGTCCCGCACCAGGTGCGATTGGCTGCCGTTCAGAAGCCGCAGCGACAGAGACAAACCTGCGGGATAGCGCACACGAGACACACAGTCAGTTATTCTGTAGATACACAGGCGAAGCAGAAAACCAACTGAGCCCCCACGGACATACCGTGGGTGGGTTCCACAGTCACTGAGCTATTCTATTGTCCCGTGTTTATTGCCCATTGCATTCATCCATGTCGTTTGGGATTTTACATAAATATTTACTTTCAGTGCAAGACAAAAATGGGAGACAATGCGCTTCATTTGAATTTTTCTTCGGTCAGTGAAGTCTAGGCTCTTGAATAAAGTGAAGTAGGAACTCAATTCGTGCTCTAACTCAGTGCGGCATGGTGAGGGAGAGTAACCAGCAGCAGTCCCAGACTCTACACCTGTGGCCGACTCGCCGCCACTGACCGTAGCTGCCCTGTCCGGAGAGCGGGCTCAGCTTGCTGGCCTGTCGGATGATGAGCTCGTGCAGCTGGCCGAACTCCCTCTCCTCTGCCTGCTGCAGCCGCACGGTGAGCTGGCGTTCAGTCGCCTCCCGTCCTCCCAGAACATCCCACAGACAGACGGCCGCGCAGCCCAGCGGCCGTCGCAGCCGCTGGGGCCCCGCGCGGCGCCCGGACTCGGCCGGAAACATGCGACCCAGTCGGAGCGCGCGCACCACCAGGTGCAGGTCCGGCGCGTGGTCCACGTCACCCAGGTCCTGAAGGAAGGGGAGGCGGAGAACTGTCAATGCTGCAGAAAAACGGAGGCGGAAAAACGGTCAGAGCTGCCAGAACGGTGTCAGGGAAACGGTCAGACACTGAATTTGCGTGAGCACTTTCGCGAGGGCGCTGATTGCATAAGAATAGAAGGACGTTTGCTAAATAATGCAATTTTCGCTCAATCAAAAACAAATGGAATGCGATGCATTGATAAGGCCGTGCAGAAAATGGTCGTGACTTGAGAGTTGTGACAGAAAGCTCATCAATACCTTTCAATTAATGCCTGTGTTGCACGGAACTGTGACAACGCTAGTCGCTAACAGCTGAAGTAAATTAGTAAAATGCTCAGTGGAAAGGTTCAAACGGGTATGCTGTCTCGTGAACGATAAAGAGAACCGCACCTCGAATATAGTGAAACAATTTTGTGTAGATGTAGCCCAGGTGCTGGCTCATGGAAAGGTGAAACAAATCGGTGGGGAAACACGGCAGAATCCGACAGATGAGGGAAAAACTGTGTTACATAAACTTTTTATTTAATAAAAAAAATCGGCCAAAATTCCTTGTTTTCTTCTGGAACCGTTTGATCATTCAATAGATCAGTTTCTTGCGTGACGTATGTCGAGCGACACAATTTTGAGCCATCACGTTCAGCCTTTCTGATGAACAGTCACATGCATGTGACCGTTCGTCAAAAAGACTGATAGTTCGCGAGACATCCTCCGATTAACGAGCTTGATTCAGCGTCGGCGGTCTGGCGCCCTGCGAACGTAGTACACCAGCCTGCTACCGCATTCAGCCCATGAGTCATTGCCATGCACGTGCGGCTGCCAGCCCAGTGTGAGCCGTGTGAGACGCGGCACCATCGGCCCAGTGGGACGCCTTCCGCGCCACTCAGCATGGCAGCGGCGTGCCTTTGACGAAGTGGCAGCACAGGTTCCCCATCCGACACGTCCCCGAGATACATATCTGCGGCTTGCGCGCGCCGGGAGGGGTGAGAAGGTACGAGTGGGCCACTTGGAACACTGCAGTGGTTTTATTGTAGGTACGCAGAACGTGTTAGTCATTTAGACACACGCAAGTGCAGAGGTGCTCATAAACCCGTCAAGAATCAACTGCACCTACAAAAGGGATAGTTTCTAATTTCTATGCCTCAGAAAGCCTAAACTTTCATATCATCAGATGTCACGTTAAAAAAGAACACGTTCAAAAAGCAGCGCCGTTGTCATCATTACTCAGCCCAGAGTCTTATGCACTTATCGAACTTGTAAAAACACAGCCGTATGATATGAACTTGAGCAAAAGACGTTTAACGATGAGGATGTCGAGCGATGAGGCCGTGATATCCATCCGGTAGTCACTTCCCGGTGTATCGAGTACACTTCTAACGACTGCGTGAAAGCATGCGCTGCATAACAGCAGCTTACAACATCCGACTGATACAGTTACGCAACGATGGCATCAATATTTGAAAGCAATGATTGCAACTGTAACTGGCAACCTAGAAGTAAGTGAAAGAAGGAAAGAAGGAAAGAAAGAAAGAAAGAAAGAAAGAAAGAAAGAAAGAAAGAAAGAAAGAAAGAAAGAAAGAAAGAAAGAAAGAAAGAAAGAAAGAAAGAAAGAAAGAAAGAAAGAATATGATAATCAAAAAGATGAGATAGGTATCGTTGCTTTCTTACCGTAAAGACGGCTGAGGAATTGTTGGCAGACTTGTTGCAGAAAGGCTTGACGCCATCTCTTGATATCAAAACCACAAATCGTTCGCTGTCAAAAACGAAGAAAATGCCGAGTCAGAACAATAGCGAGACAATTAAAAAAGCTCAACCATTATAGCACTAAAAGCACTCTCAAGCAAATCACTAATTCCTGTGATAGAGCAAATAGCATACAAAGAAGCGTTCAATTTTATGACTTATTCTTTGACTTTGTTTTAATGCAATTTGCCTTTTTATTCATGTTACGCAGCTAGCTTCAGTACATCATTTGTAAACACGACAGTGGGCCAGGGACCCTGAAAAAGGTACGTCACCAATCCACCATGGGCGCCTCACCTGATAAACCTGGCGCGCTTGGCGTCGTACAGGGAGAAGTCGAGCTCCACGTCTTCGACGATAGGGTAGCAGAACTCGCTCACAGACAGGTGCAGGTTGTGATTGGTCACCGTCGGCTCGGCTGGCTTCTTCTTACGGAGCGTGCCCCGTATCTAAGGCAGAAAATGAGCGCAGGGGTTAATTACAAAGGCTTCTTTTCAATGTGATTCGGAGTGATGGAATGTGACTAATGAGGTTACGGAATAGGTACAACATTAATTGGAAAACAAAATAAATAGAAAATAAGTCATTTTTACCGAAACTTATCGAAGTAAAAAAACTAAAATTTCAAATACAGTAACGTATATGTCCTGAAACACATTTATCAATTAATGCTAGTTTCAAAGCCACTTACCGACATCCCTTGTGACGTTTCCAGACTTTGCGAATGCTGGAATACCATAAGAGGCGTTAAAATCGGGCGAAATAAGATATGCGCTTATCACTGGATAGTGAATATTCAATTCATATACTTTTGATTACGAATGTTTGTCCTATTCTTTGGATAAATGCACTCGGCAAATCAAAACATTGTACAAAATATACGTTCAATAAATATTCATTAATTGCTACGGAAGGTAAACCAATACCGCACAGGTATTGCATGACAAGCTGCGCTAGATACATATACGTTGTCTGTTTCACTTTGTTCTGTTTGTCCAGCGCCAGTTGGTGTGCCCGGCGGTGTGCCACTCACCACGCGGTGCAGGTCGACGACGGAGATGGTCTCGGGGTCCACCATACAGCCGTCCATGCGGGGCACAAGGTCCAGACCCAGCCGCCTGCGGTAGACAGAGATGAACGGTCAGATACTGCATGAAGCAGACATAGGGACTGTCGGAACGGAACACAGAATACACGTCAAAAAGCGCGGACACCTTTTTTAGTAGGTACGAAGCCACATTCATAAAAGTGAGGGAAATTCGAACCGAAAAAACTTTTAGAGAGAATCCCCGCTTGGTCTTCAGCGTCCGATACCACCCGTATGGATATCCCAATGCATTTGCCTACATTTCCGATGTAGGCTGCAGCTCAACAAAATCGACGTTTTAGGTTGAAAACTGGTATTCAGCTGCAAGGAGTGCGTATCCTGTGCCAATACGCTTTTGCGTGCCGGACTGAAGAGTGAGCAATAAATCATCGCTATTAGCCGCACTGTCCTAGAACATAGCTATCTATAGTCCATACCTTCTAGGTCAAAGTTTGCGTCTCTGGATTCTTCAACCTGATAAAATCAATATATTCAGCATGCAAGGTGATTTTGCGACCACCCAAAACTACGAGCAAACTTCAAGGCATGGTATTTTGATAAGTCTTTCTTTAGTTCCTCGGACAGAAATAACAAAATAGACAACCAGCACATGCCGGTTCGCATCAGACTATTCAACTTGCAGCCAGAGGCTAAAACTCTCCAATTATCCCATTGTTAACTTTTTACACTGTCATCCAACATCTCAGCAGCCGGGGCTCGTTAGGAGTTAGGACTGTTCGCCGCTCCTGACGGCCTCGAACGTTGCACCAGCAATGGACTCCCAGTCCTCAGTGCACTGTTATCCTTCGCTGATCAGCAATGTCGCCTTCGTGACAGCTTCAGGCGGCTGCGGTTCCATTGTATTGTCAGTTAATGTGACGCCATCCCGTGTTCATCGTTCTGCGACACCTCATCGATAGCAGGTTACCCACAAGACAAGAATTGATAGCTGGTCGCATGTTCATCATGCAGTTTCAGTCGTAATCGCGGCGTTTGGCAATGGTAGCCAGATTGCGTCACTCGTTAGAGCAAGGCTACCTTGTAACGCCCGCTCCACACAGTGTAATCATAGACCGTGACCATTTAACAACGCTCGTGAGTCGTGACCTCACGAGCTCACGACAGCAATTACATCTGAACGGATCCTTTAATGTGGCAAAGGGTGGAGTGTGAATTAAAACTACTGTCCTCATTTAGCAGAACAATACCTTTTCACAGCAGAACAGGGGATGCATGGTCTATTATAATGACGGCTGTTTATTTTAATTAGACACAAGGACGGCACGACAATTGAGATATATGCACTATGCACCGTGAATCGTGCACTGTGCACGTCGGTCGTGAATCGCCGTGTTCTTTGTGTTAACACTAACCACCTAGTCCAGATTCCAGAGCGGAATCGGTGCCACGCACGGGACACAGCAGGAAAAAAAGAACAGCTGCACAGCACGAGCGGCCTATGTCGGGCGCGCCACGCGCCGCAGCGCCGCAGCTGCGCCACGCCACGTCGCAGCCGCGCCGCGTCGGGTCACACTTCCGCTGGTAGCGGCTTTTTGTCCCTGTTCCGGGCGACAGTCGTTTTTCCTGTGTCAGAGGACCCACAACACGTCATTTGTAGCACCTAAAGACACGGCACACTGGCTTGTCGCAGCTAGTTCGGGACTAAGTTGGAGCCCCTTGGTACCGGGGACGGCACGTCAAATGTCAAAATATCCGGTGCAAGATATCCGTCGTTAGTGAAATAAATTCAGCAGCGTAGTTGTAGGTAACTAAGAAGACGGGAGGGGTGGAAACCATGAAATAATCTCTGGTCTCTTGTCCTGCGGTATTTACAGAGACACCTTTATAGGATAGCAAAGGTATTCTTATTCCGTTGCTAGCTTTGATTTTTTATCAAGGTTAATGGGTGACATCTTATAAATCATAATACGCACACACATGAAGAAAGCACAGAATGACAAGCCGTCTCCCGATGAGAATCCCTTGACTTCTCACTGTCGTAATCAAAGCGGCAAGCGCGAGCATCCGTGTAGCTCGAGTGAATCAGCGTGGCTCAGACAGAGCTCTTTCTTCCCAGACTCAGATGGTAAGCGAGCTGGTCTCAGCAACGCGGATATACAACTTGACCAACAGGATGTGTCATGAATTAATAATTCGCTGTTACAGACATGCCTAACCTCATTCAACTGCATGAATGAGATAAACGCGGCGAGATAAATAGCAATCTGGACTAATATGATGTCAGGTGACTCGGCTTTCCCTTTTCCGTCACGATACTATTATCAACAGACGGGTGACCGGTGAGATAATTCTACATCTAACGCCACTGCCGAACACCTCACGACATCGTCCACTCTCAGACAGGTCAGAGACCTCACGTCTCAGACGTCCTCGCTGGAGATCGGGCCGACATCTCCAGGAGGGCAGATGGAGGGCCGTCGCCCTCCTCTCGGCGCTTCCCGCCACTTCCGCAGCGCGCGCGCGCTCGCGCACATGTTGGGGACAGCTGCGCGGGATGCTGTGCCTCCGTGGCCCCGCGCGCCGCCGCTCTCAGCCGGAAACTGAAGGGGAGGAGGGAGGATGCAGCCTCCAAGATAGGACAGCTGCCGGGCGCCTTTTTATTGATGTGGGCACAGCAAAGGGTGCGTTCAGCAGCGTTTGGAACGGAATGGAAATGTCTTTGAAATTCTAAAATAACAGTCGTTGTTGGTTTACGGGCGAGCATGTGTGCACCAGGTGTGTTGAAAAGCATGCGGACAGTGTGCTCCTGCTGCAAGATACTTATGTCGAAGATGAATAAGACGTCATTGACAACTGTTGTCATGCGCTGAACTAGTGCAGACTTTAAGCTAGATAAGACCACCACTGCTGCGACGCAAGCAAAGGCAATGCGAAAACACTTAAATTTCACTTTAGATTTTAATGGCCACTGTGAGTCAGAAAAAAAAATGAATCGCAGGGCATCAAGAAAATAGCATTTTGGTCCAAAATCTTCAATAGGAAATTAAAAGGCGTGAGTGAGTGACGTAGAAACGCGTGAGCCATATATTCTCTTGTCCTAAATTATTTTCCTTTTTTATACACGGAGCAAGATGATACCTATGTACATGAAAGGCTGCCTTACAGATAACATCGACTCCATCGTGGGAGCTGAACTGATGGAATCAGACAATTAGCCGTACTTTTCTCGTTCAATATTCTCACACTACTTATCTGAGCACCGGGGTCAGTACACTCAGTCAAGACCTCGTGAGTTATTTACGTGATTTAATTCGTTAACCACCGCATAACCCCGCCGGAAGTGGCTGATCTCTCAGCCAGCGTCCGGAAGCTTCTCGCTACCGGGAAATAATTACTATTCACACCTCCGCGCCAAGCTCCCATGCAAACCATGGTGCACCGGAATCAGTAGCGAGGCTGACGGCGGCCGCCACCGTCCGTTACCCTTCCCGACATCACAGGCAGCCTCGATGACAGGTGTGTCGGATGGAGCTCCGATCTGCCACCCGACACGGGCGCCGTGCCGAATTTGTCAGCCCGACACAGTCGACCGCCCGACAGCATCGGCCGCCAACACTGCAGAACACTGCAGCAAAATGTCAATGAATAATTACAGGCTGTGACAGCGAGAGAGACGTGTAATGCATATGGTCGAGATGTAATTCATATATCCAGAGTGTACTGCATACAGTGCACCATCTTTGAACGATGGGCGGGCGGTTACAGGCCGAGCACGAATACCTACATAGTGACAAGCCGGAAAGATGGCGAATCAATCCGAGAGGATGTTTCGCAAGAGTTGCATTAATGTGTCATATGTGCGCGAGCGAACGGCATCTCCATTTTGCCGTGTATATCTCAAGTGATGCATGAAATCAAATCACACGGCGTTCGGACGCATATGAAGGGTCATAGCTGTCCGTTACCACCTCCTTACCCCTCCCCTCCGCGGTCGTCAGTGGCTCGCGATGATAGGTCGTCACGTCACGGTACAAATCGTGGCCGTCACGGCTGCCCTGACCGTGACACCGCTGACAGACGGCCGTGTCAGGATGTCAGATCACTTCCCGGGTCCGACACGCGGGCCTTCCTCGGGAACGGGGCGGGACGTCGCCCTTCAGTCGTCACTGTGCGAGCTATATAGAGCTCGCACAGTGCAGGCCTACCAGAACCAGAGCCATGAGTCCTCGGCCATCACAGAAGGGACGGGCGATCACGCGATGCGCTACTGGTCGTACGGAACGCGGACTAACCTTTACGTGTGACAGCCGACACGATTTTAAGAACACGTTGGATTTGTTTACTATTTCAGCCCAAGATATGAATCGACCGATATACAAGTCGGTCGGGACAAGCGTCATATTAACTCATTTCACATGTCTCGATCAGAGAAACACCATTTCACCAAGCAAAGGACCCACGAGTCTTCAAACGCAGCCTGTGGATTGTGAGAACGATCGCAGACCTGCCAATGACCTCTCCATATTTCTGCGTCGTCTGTTTGAGTGTGGTCCGGCCGGCGCGCGTGCGTGCGTGTGTGTCGGCGCTCTTTGATGTTACGGCCGGGGCCGCATTCGATGAACGGCGGACGGAAGGCCGTCCGGATGCCCCGCACGCTGTCGAAATGATAGAGGAGCAGACGTGCCTCGCTTGTGTCACTGCTCAGCGCTGGGATTCGTCCAACGGGAACGACAGTCAACACGCCCTCCCGTGAATATCTCAGCCATTACCTGACTAAATATTAACACCTAGTCATCCATCCAGGTAGAGTTCGCTTCCAAGTTCCAGGCGGCGATGTTGATAGCTCGTATCAGAATAAACCAATCCGCCTGGGAACTGAGCTGAGTCGAATACACAGTTCGTGCCAACTGCCAGCTATCTGTGCCATCAGTTGCCAATTTGGGCCAGAGTGGCAGCGAATGTGGTCCCACCGAAACCGCAAGCCCACACCATCACCGTGAGAAATACGCTGACTTTTCTCCGAGCGTGGCGGTCGTATTCCACAAACTATTGCAATCGGACAGGAGCCCT